ACATTACTTCCTGTGTACTTTGTAGGTAATCTTTTCGTTCAATTTACTTACTACTGCATGCTAATGCTACTTCCAAGAGACTGTCATGTTGTTTCCTAGCTTAACTTTTAACTCAAGTTACAACCTGGTAGGCTACAACTTCCATCTCCAGTACATTGACTTTCTCGGTTGTGTACTGGCTCAAGACACTTCAAGATACTGTACAAGTTTTTACCTGGTTTAACTCATTTTTACTGTCGATAGCTTCCTAAGTTAGGCTTATGTCTTAGCCCTGGTTACTGACAGGTACAAGTTACTTTGCCTTTACTTCCTAGGTGACATCTCAGCTGAAGTCACTGCTTGGTTACTTCAACGTTACTTTGAAGTTACGTCAAGTTACAATCTATTTTTATGTGTGTTACTTCCTGGGTTACGCATTGGCTCAAGTTACTAACATGTACAAGATGTTGCTGGTACAAGTTGGATATAATTTCCTACTTGTTACTCTTTGCTCCAGTTACTTCTAGTTACAAATGACGTCTATGTCGCTTCTAAGGATTGTGTCTTAGCTTAAGACAATACGTGGTACAAGTTACGTTTATGTTCTTTCCCAGGGTACCTCTAAGCTTACGTTACTACGTGGTACAAGTTAACTCGTTTTATGTTTGCATGACAGTAAATAATATGCTACTTAAAACCTTCCCCATGTAGAGAAATTTGAAAGGTGTATTTGCACTATTTTAGTTGTGCAAACAATACCAGTCTATAAAAAAAAAAAAAAACACTGACGGCAGTTACTTATGATTACTTGGGAACAAATGCTGCAGTAAAATGAAAGCACTTTATACCAAAACCAAAAGCAAGGTAACAGACACCGGTATCCGCCCTTACTGGAATGTACCTGAGCGTAGAAGGAGGGACAGAGCTTGGAGCGCAACAATGGCCACCCGGCTATCTGCGTGGTATTGCGACAGAAGTCTCATGATTTGCCTGTACACACACAAACACCCGCGCAAGGAAGCACACAAACGCGTACAGTTAAGAATTTCTTTGAATCATATTCTGTATTGACATGCGTGGTAGTGTTCATCAGAACCTGCTTGGTGCATTTTTGGAATGTGTGAAATGTCAGGCAACATCTTCTCAAAAGGGGAAGTGTGACACCGTTTGTCAAATGAAAAGGGATTTGAAAGGTGGTGGTTATTGAAATAACACGCATCAGCAGGGTAAGTCAACGCCAAAATGTTCTTTACAAGACTATGTTCTATGCGCTTTCACGAGTCTAAATACGGGCATTCTGATTCATACTGTGTGTGTGTGTGTGGAATATGAGCTAAGCAGCTAAATTGACCCGTTTTTCAGGTGGTGGCTATTTTCCACTTTCAGTTGACTGAAAATGATAGCAGTTGCTCGCTCAGGTAATGACCAATCGCGGCTCACCTGTGTTCTGAAGCTGAGCCATGATTGGTCGTTACCTGCGCCCTGAGCAACTATGATGTCATATTCAGTCAACATCATATAAACATATTCTTGTAAAGAATTTTTTTTCCCTTTAAAGAATGTTCACCTGACAGACATATTAAAAGAGGCAGTTGCCAGAAATGAATTATGTTTTACTGCATGACTCTCTCTGTCAATAAATAACCTCCACAAAGATACAAGGGTGTCCAAAGTGCAGCCTGGGAGCTAATTGCGGCCCACGGCATGTTTTTGGTTGCCGTTTTGTTTATTGCTGTGCCCCATATTGTGAATAAATTTACTCACCTGTGTTCTGAAGCTGAGCCATGATTGGTCGTTACCTGCGCCCTGAGCAACTATGATGTCATATTCAGTCAACATCATATAAACATATTCTTGTAAAGAATTTTTTTTCCCTTTAAAGAATGTTCACCTGACAGACATATTAAAAGAGGCAGTTGCCAGAAATGAATTATGTTTTACTGCATGACTCTCTCTGTCAATAAATAACCTCCACAAAGATACAAGGGTGTCCAAAGTGCAGCCTGGGAGCTAATTGCGGCCCACGGCATGTTTTTGGTTGGTGTTTTGTTTATTGCTGTGCCCCATATTGTGAACAAATTTTAAAAAAGAATGATCGCAGTAACTGAAAATGGCCTGCATCAGAGCAAAACAGTTACACCCCAAACATCAAAACTTTGAAGGTGCCTTTTAGGTACCAGTTACTTCTATGTTATTTCCCAGGTTATGTCTTAAGTGGGCGGCACGGTGGTCGACTGGTTAGCACGTTGGCCTCACAGAACAGAGGTGCAGGGTTCAATTCCGGCTGCGGCCTTCCTGTGTGGAGTTTGCATGTTCCCCGTGCTTGCTTGGGTTTTCAACGGGTACTCTGGTTTCCTCCCAAATTCCAAAAACATGCATGGCAGGCTAATTGAACACTCTAAATTGTCCCTAGGTCTGACTGTGAGCGCGGATGGTTGTTCGTCTATGTGTGCCCTGCGATTGCTTGGCAACCAATTCAGGGTGTGTGTACCCCTCCTCCTGCCCAAAGACAGCTGGGATAGGCCGGCCCCAACATGCCCGCAACCTTTGTAGGATAAGCGGGTTAGAAAATGGATGGTTGGATGGATGCCTGAAGTGAGAGATGAGAACAAACTTATTCCTCCTCCCAAGTGGAGGATCAGGAAAAAAGTTATTGCCTGGATGTATTCAACAGGAAAAAATATACCTCATTAATCCACTGACTACTGTAATAGTTCCACAATCTTACTCTCAGTCGATGAAAGCAGGTCAAAGTATTCAGTAAGTACCATTACATGCATGAAATACCGTAATGCAGAAAGTCGTCATCACACCACCCAAATTGAGTTGGCAGATTTTTGGAAACTCTTAGAAATGATTCGGTGCAATTGTATTGACTGTGAGCGAGATACAGCTACTTACTGGTGAGGTGCTTTCAAGCTCTCCAGCATGCCTGGACAAATTTCCAGCAGCTGACACAGCAGTGACCAGCCCACCTGTGGTAGTGAGAGATGAGAACAAACTTATTCCTCCTCCCAAAAGTTATTGCCTGCATGTATTCAACAGGACAAAATATACCTCATTAATCCACTGACTACCGTAATAGTTACATAATCTTACTCTCAGTTGATGAAAGCAGGTAAAAATGTTCAGTAAGTACCATTACATGCATGAAATACCGTAATGCAGAAAGTCATCACACCACCCAAATTGAGTTGGCAGATTTTTTTAGAAACAGCCCTCACTCAGTATGATTCGGTGCAATTGTATTGACTGTGAGCGAGATGCAGCTACTTACTGGTGAGGTGTGTTCAAGCTCTCCAGCATGCCTGGACAAATTTCCAACAGCTGACACAGCAGTGACCAGCCCACCTGTGGCGAGAGGATAACGTCTTCACATACAATGTAGAGCGAACTCCCTTTAATCGCGGGAATACTTTTCAGATCCACGCGCCATGAGTAAAGATCAACTATATAAAATCTGTTTACCGAGCCCACACACTTTCAACACATTCAAACTTATCAAAAACATACTTGTTACAGCACATCTTTTTAAGTGTTTCCTAGCTGTTGTTTTCACTCTCTCACAAGGAGAATTGAATATTTAAACTTTTCAAACGAACACTGTAATTTCGTCTCACAAAAGTTTGCTAGCTTAATACTAACAATGCAAAATGCCAAAAAAATCTATGGAATAGCAACGGTGTCAAATGTCTGGAAATGAGACACCTCAAAGGGACTCTTACGTTAGACAGTGTTCATAAATGTCAGAAATGATAATAAAGGTTCGACCAAGCCACCGAAAATCAGTTATGAGGAAAATCTTTCATTTGCTATCTTCGCGGGAGCCTCTGGTGTGTTTTTTTTTGGGGGGGGACAGAAGTCTATTTCATCCAGTCGGGACTGCACCCGAACAGTTGCGGTGTGTTCAAGTACCTGCTGGACTCCTCGGCTCTCCATGTGTGACGACAGCGTGGCCA